GGCGGCTATGGTGGATTATTTTTTTGATTGGTTGAATAAGCTTCGATTGACCATCTGATTTCTCGATTTGTTCCGCTTGTGATTATTGATCACAGGGTCTTTTTTCCTCTGCTCGCCGGAAGGAATCAAGAATCTGCCGGCGATTGCGTCTCCTCAGGTACCGGTTTCTCTCCGAGACATGTAGTTGCTGTTTCTAAGCTTTGCTGAAGAAATTTAATGAACATGCATGTAGGGGTTTGTGTAATTGTGTTGCTGATCGGTTGACTTGTGTCAAGTCTGAATTCATATTTGGCTATTGATTGTCCCTGCTCAGATTTGAGTCGATGTGATATAGATCGTTAAGTTATCTGTGTCTCTAGATCTATATACGGAGTATTTAGCTTGGTGTTCAGTTGTCACGCTTTCTTGCTTTGCGATAAACACTATTGAATTATTGGAGCTGTGTATTTCCTTTCTACTTGTTTGCAAGTGTTATTGGAGCTTGTGATTAGGTGTGGTAAGGTAATTGTTTAAACCTGATTTTGGGGTATGTTAAGGGATAGTGTTTTCAATTACCTTTAACGATTGAGATCATTTTTATGCGGTGCACATTAAATTAAAAAAAACTATATTTTTGTCGATAAGACAAAGCTAAACGTTGATGCTTTTTGCAAAAATGTTTGTGATCTTGTTTAACTTTACCATCTATACCAACTCTGCACTGTTGGCTTTAAGAATTTGAGCATGAAGCTTATGTTCGACATGAGTACATGTTTTCAAACTTCTTGAATAAAAGGCATGAGAATTGATAATGGATTCAGAAATATCTCTTGCGATATGCTTTGGAGTACTCCGTCTTGGATATTCTCAACTTGCGCACAGCTCGCAATTAAGAGTATAGAATGCTAGAGATAACCAAAGATATAATCTAAAGTTCATTTATGTTGTGAGTTTTGTAAACAAAACGGCATGAACCATTATCCCTCTTATATCGTGCAAGGAACTTACCCTTTCTCTATTGTTTCTTACAGTTGCTTACTAGTTGTGTAGAATCATTCATCCTCCTCTTTTATCATCACTCTCAGGTGTCCCCAACCTCACCCCACGCACACACCACCACACAAATTGGGAGCTTTGACACTGGCTCTAGATGCTCAGTGTACTGTGTGATTGCTATGTTGGAATTGATTTCATTTCTTAAGTGGGGAATTTACCTATATAGTACTAAAATATATAGTATTAAAACATAGTGAGTTTCTCTATGTAGTATCATTTTTTTTATTTTCCAATGTAATATCACTGTTCAATGTCCACTGGACATTGTTCAAGTAAATGTTCACTGCCACTGAACATTGTTCAAGTACTATTTAGGGAATAAAAAGTTTTAGATACTACATTGGGAAAAGACATGTTTTAGTACTATTTAGTGCAAATTTCACTTCTTAAATATGATTTGATGGCTCAATGTTATGCCATGGAAGTTTCATTAGTCAGTGTATATCTTTAGTATATTGCTTGGAAGAGATGATAGTTTCCTCTGTTTATTTCCCATTTAACTACTAGTGTTACTTGAATGCTACTGGGCAGGTATTAAAGTATCCCTCAGCTTCCCCAGCAACTGCACTCTTACAAATGGATCAGCATGGAAATGGACAACCACCAGGTATGGGGGTAACTACCTCTGCTTCAGTGGCATATGGTGTTCCCTCATACCAAGCTAACCAAATGACAGGGTCTATGCCGGTGGGTCCCATTCAATCTCCACAAAATCTAGGTCTTCCAGCCTCTTCATCTCAGATGGCGCCACATCAGCTTGCATATCAGCACATGCATCAACAGCAGCAACAGCAGTTGCAGCAACAACTTCAGTCTTTCTGGGCTAATCAATATCAAGAAATTGAGCAGGTTACTGATTTCAAAAACCACAGTTTGCCGTTGGCAAGGATCAAGAAAATCATGAAGGCAGATGAAGATGTTAGGATGATCTCAGCAGAGGCACCTGTTGTGTTTGCTCGTGCTTGTGAGATGTTCATCCTTGAATTGACTCTGCGTGCTTGGAGTCACACTGAGGAGAACAAAAGGAGGACACTTCAGAAAAATGACATTGCTGCAGCCATTACAAGGACTGATATCTTTGATTTCTTGGTTGACATTGTTCCACGAGAGGATTTGAAAGATGAGGTGCTAGCTTCAATCCCTAGAGGAACCCTTCCTGTCGGGGGTCCTGCAGACCTTCCATATTATTACATGCAAGCACAATCTGCACCCCAGGTTGGACCCTCAGGAATGTATATGGGTAAGCCAGTGGATCAAGCCTCCCCATATGTGCAGCAGCCTCATCCATATATGGCTCAGTCAATATGGCCTCAACAGCAGCAGCAGCAGCAACCACCATCAGATTCATGAGCAGGAGCCAGGAACAGGAATGAAATGTGAGTTATTAATCTATTTTCCTGTAATCAATCTTTTTTGAGAAAACATACCATACCAGTTTGCTCTGATCCCGTGCTGAATAGTACTTTTATTTTCATAACTCATTCATAAAAAAATACATGATTTACAGAAATCAAGAAATTATGAATTAACTTGTATACAGCAGATAAACTTCTATGATTTGTTGTGTTTGCATATTGCCCCATCATCAACTAATCCAATACTTCTACAAAACAACTGCAGAAAATTACAACCTGAACACCGAGTAGCAAAGAACACATCACCAAACGAGCAGGTTTCGTAGTAGAACACATATTACTGGATGGTACGTGAAGCACGCCCAGCTTTAAGCTCTTGTTTCTAGTGTAGCTCCATCTGCATGCAATGAACTCTATGTTTTCTATGTTGTATACTTTTGAATTACAAGTGAAGAAGAATGTTAAGGTTGTGATATTGTGGGATTGAACTCACTTTTCTGCCATTGATTGAGTGCTGATCTAATTCTTCAAGTTGTGCAACGGTGAGAAATTCGCATGACAACCCCCCCACCCCCCCACCCCCCACCCTACCCCTCTTGTTTAGTTGAAATTTAGTGAGGGGGTCGAAATTTTCCTTCTCTCTGTCCTTATTATTCACACCCCCTCCCTATGTATCCAAACACACCCTAAAAGCATTGTGGAAAATGTTGGCGATGCTTGTTGTACACCCAAGGTTTATACCGAAGTGTACACCAAGCTTTATTTTTACCCTTCAAAGACAAGAAATACGCGAGAAGATAAATCATATTGTAATCTCACTTTATTGCTCAACTATCGTCATCTTAGCTTTAACCCTATGTTTAGATGGGCAAATTTTGGAGAGAGAAAATGAGAGAGTGGGGAACACAAATTTCAATGCCTTTTCTCTTGTTTGAGTGCAATAAAAAAAAGGAGGAAGGGAGAAAAAAAATGAGAGAATGAAATTAAAACTTCTCTCAGGCGAGAAAATTGAAAAGATGTAGAGAAAATGAGTGAAATTACTCTTTCAACTTCCTTTTTTAAAAAAAAGTAGGGACACAAATGTCTTTTCATTTTATCACATTTTTAGTGCATCACATTTTCTTTCTTCTCACCTTTTTTCCATTTTCTACTCATTCAAACAACCATTTATTTTTTCTTCGTTTTCTTTCCTCTCCATTTTCTTTTCATCTTTTTTCCTTGCATTTTCTTTTCTCATTCAAGACATAGGCTAAGAAAAAAGTTTGGGGAATTTCACTTGTGACACCATTTCCGACACAGGCGAACAAGAATAAACTCAGTGTTTTGTTTTGGACGCGTCCACGTCTACAATGCAAGGACATTTACCCACCAATGATATACTAGTGTCCAACATGTGTCGGAAAATGACACTGCATTGAGACGAGTAGTTGTTGACACAGTTCAATACGTGCCCAATATTTAATGAGTGGGGAAGGTTCCCATGACATTGGTTCCCAATGTCATGGGAACCAAGGTGTTAATGAGTTGTGATTTTTGGAAGAAAACAATGTCCAAATTGACTTGTCAGTGTCCGATTTGTACAGGATAATCCACACCATAACTAAGACTACACACGCCTAAGCTCACAGTCCCAACCATTAATATCTCATAGAAAATAAAGCCTCAAGTTTTAGCTTTGGACAAACTCCAAAGTAGTTCCTATCCAACCTAACTCCTTCCCCGTTCCCCCTACCCCTCCCTCCCATCCCCTCTATTTTACCATTCAGTTATAATAAACTGTAGCTAAACAGTGAAATGGAGTATTTTTAAACTAAACGGAACGGAGCACCATGAGTACATAAACACATATTTTTTACACCAATATTGAAATAAATTAAATAAAAAAATAATTTTAGTCAAACATTAAAAACTAAATAAAAGCGGTCTAGAGCCTTCGTTGGAGCAGGGTAGGGAGGATTGAACCTCCTAAACCTTGGCCAAAGTGTCTGATGCTAAGGGGGTGGGTGCTTGAAGGCTTATATTGATGTTGCACGGTTTTCCATGGGCACTCGTGGGGGGGGGGGGGGTATGTCTGTTGCTTGTTCGAGGAAGACATCCTGTTCTAAGCTGCGATCAACGAGCGTCTATAGCGTGCTCTCAAGAACCTACATTGGCAGAAACTTTGGCTGGTAAGGAAGCTCTTCCGTGGGACGTAAGGCAAGAGGGGTGTGGGAGGTGATTCTTCAAACATATTGTTCTAATGTGGCGAATGCCAGTAAGACAGTGATGTCTAGTATGCTTCTTATTTTGGCGTTGTAATTGAGGATTGTATCTCGCGTACGGCTTGTTTTGAATGTATTTCGATTAAATTTTGTTCAGTGTACGATTAACGGGGTTGTTGATTCCCCTGCAAACATTGTTTCGGATGCTTCGTTGAATAAATTGATTCCACCTTTCCTTCAAAAAAAATCTAAAAAGCTCTTTGTGCCTAACGGATGTATATTGGTATCATTTGTTTAAAATGAGATCATCACAATTCACAAGGCAAGGAAAAAATGGGAAAGCACATCACTTTAGAATAGGATGAGGTATTTCAATAAAGCTAGGATAACCCAAAAATGTGACCTCAAGCAAGATCACATGCTTCGCACAGATCACATACACCTACCTTTATTTTCTAGTGACGATCAAACAATAAAAATCTGTATGGTCTGTAGGAAGTGTAGGGTCACCCTTTTGGGGTTACCCTAGCACGGTTTCGGGGCATTTGGTGGTTGCAATGATTAAAAAAACAAAGAAAGAGGGTCCTTTTATTTACTGTAAAACAAAAGAAAGGGGGTCCTTTTATTCATTATACAACAGTCAGTCACAGTTATCCATGCTCCGTATTTAGCCTCACCAAAACCGGTTTTGAAGGCAGCAGGTACATAAGGTGGGTCTCTCAGCAGTGTGGGCACAACTCTTCCAGGCTGAAGAAATTAAAAAAAAAGGTTAGAATAACGCCTTCCATTTCATGGGTACAAGGTGTCGAAAATAACTTAGGCTATGTTTAGCTTTAGCATTTTGAAAATACTATCCAACAGTAGCTTTTAGCTTCAGCTTTTTCAAAATTAATCTGAACCATCAAAAGCTTATCCAAAATGCCGACGTTAATTTACAAAAAAGGTTAGTCCCAAACGAAGCCTTAATTATGAAAATCTCTCGCACCTTCTCCCAAGGTACTCGATGATATCCCCAGTAAGCGTGGATCTCCCCTTGTTCTCGAATGCAAGAGCTGCAGCCTTCCTCAGCAGAGTCGACCCGGCAATACATCCCAGTACTGTAGGATTTGTTGTGTAAAATTCTCCCAGATCAGCGCACTGTCGCGCCCAACAAAGAAATACCGCAACACTGAAAGCAATAAACAGTCAAGTGTCAATTTATGCCACTATGGAACGTATTATATAGCAACATGTCTCAAACTAATGAGGGTGGTGGAAAGAAGAAGAGAAAGATGGCGGTTAACAACCTTCCTGACAGTATATCACCCTGGCCGCCGCAGCGGCGAGGAGAGCCGTAAGTGCTCACTGAATTAACTGCAACAATCACAAAGATAAATATGATCACGGATGGATGAGTGATGGGATTTCACATCTAAATGCATTAAGTATGGAAGAACAGACAATACCAACTCATCAAAAGAAGTCTAGCAAAATCACAATTTCACTTATACTGGATTAAGCAAGAAGATACCCGTTTTGCCATCACAAATTAAATCAGTTTCCCCTTTCCGCAATACTGTCACTCCACCAATCCTGAAGATATGCAGCACAACACTCATACTCCTTTCGTCCCAATGAGTTAGTCCATTTGACTTTTTGAAGTCAAACTGGACAAACTTTGATCATCAATAAAATAGAATAAAATGATCTTTTAAAAATATATTAAAAGTTAAATCTAATTAAGTCATTTTCATTTCAATATGGAAAGTAATTTTAATTTAATAAATGATCTAAATCTGTTCAGTTTGACTCCAAAAACTCAAAAGGACAAACTCATTATCTTAAGTCCAAAGTTAATCTATACTTTTTAAAATCTAAGTATTTATTTTAATTTCCATTTTAATTGATAGGTGGGATGTTTTGGTGGACTCACTCTCAAGTTCCAATGACATGCAAGGCAGTCTTTATTGTTCCAAAGTGTTTCAAACACGGTTTGAGAAGGAACGAGTTTGTATCATTTGGTCATACTCCCTCACTTCCATAAAAGACTTTACACTTTCCTTTTTTGGACGTCATAAAAAAAAATTTACATTTACTTCTTATCTTGGTAATGAATAGGTGGCTCATAATGTTTCTCTCTTATCTTAACAAATTCTAACCATATACTTTTTATTTTTCAACTTTCTTAAAACTCCGTGAAAGTCAAACCATCACGTTTTTTATGGAACGGAGAGAGTAGAAGACTTCCAAAATGATACCCCAAAATAAATAGGTTAACAATGATGATGATCATTCCTTTGACGATCTTTTATAGATCCAAGTTGATGAAGCTGTGATTGCATCAAATTATGAAGAAAAGTTCATTTCAGCACTTCAGTAAAAGAAACATGGAATTTACCCCTTAACCAGGGACTTTAACTGTTCACATTCATCTTCTTCATCAGCTTCAGAAGTTAGTACAGCTGGCACAAGCCGTTTATACTCATTTACATTTGGTGTCAGGACAGCCAGAGGATAACCTCTAACCAGATCAAGACATTGCGTAACAAGAAAGAGCCCATCCTGTGAAAAGAACACACTTTGCAAGTAATTATTATCTGATGCAATACTTTGCAACACGTTTAGACTTTTGCCAAAAGAAAACAAAAATGTACTCCCTCTGTCCCATAAGATTTGTGGGTTTTACAAAAGTAAAAAATGTGGGTTCAAATTTATTTAGAGAACAAAGAAATAATATCAACCACTGAACCACGTCACTCTTTCCTTTAAAATATTATGAACCTTATTTTTGGACAAAAATATGGAAACCATAACTCCTTTTGGGGCAGAGGGAGTATAAGAAATACTGTCACTCTATTCCAGCATACCCCATCTATAACCATCGGCAAATTGCACTTCCGCGCATGACGTATGATGTTACTCACACACTCCTGAGTTAAAATAAGCAAGTCAATATAACCACCCAACAGATAAAAATATAACACCAGAGCATGAAAAAGAGAGGAACATCTTTTGTAAGTATCATCCAAAAATACCATAACATTCAAAAATGAAACTTGTAGTTTAGGTTTCTCGTAATCACAAAAAAAACATTAAGAAAAAGAAAATCTTGAATTTTGAACCAGCTCAATCTAATTATCCTGCTAAGTCAGGGATCAATATAAGGTTAAATACCCTAGTCTTTTCTTTCTTGTGTATTATACATGAAATCAGAGTAAAGTATTTAAAACAAGAAGTGCGCTCGACACAAGACATTGTCAATGAACATAGAAGTGAATGGAAGAAGACAGGGTGCACCATAATGATCGATGGTTGGTCTGACACAAAAAAAGAGAGAGCATTGATCAATGTTCTGGTTAATAGTCCAAAGGGGGCCGTTTTCTTGAAATCAATTGATGCTTCTGAAATAGTGAAGTCATCTGACAAGATTTTTGAGATGCTAGATGAGGTCATTGAAGACGTGGGCGAAGAAAATGTCGTTCAAATTGTGACAGATAATGCCCCAAATTATAAAGCTGTAGGTGATCTATTGATGGAGAAGCGTAAAGGGCTATATTGGACACCATGTGCGGCTCATTGCATTGATCTCATGTAAGAGGACTTTGAAAAGAAAATTCGAATTCATGGACAGAAAATTCCTAATGGTCGCAGAATCACTACTTACATTTATTCTAGACCTTTAATTCCTCTATTACACCACTTCACAGATGGAAAGGAATTGGTGAGACGAGGAATGACCCGATTTGCTACTGCTTATCTAACTTTGGGGTGTCTTCATGAAAACAAAATTGGTTTGATTAGAATGTTTACATCGGAATAGTAGAAGTCAAAGAAATGTTCAAAAAGAAATTATGGAAAGGTTATGGAAGAGATTGTGTTGGATAAGGAGTTTTTGAAAAGCATAGTGATATGTTTAAAGGGTGCATTACCTCTCATTGAGGTGCTTGGTTTGATTGATTCTGATGACAAACCTGCCATGGGATTTATTTACGAGGCAATAGACCAAGCAAAAGAAAAGATACAACCAGCTTTCCAAGGTGTCAAGAAAAGGTACATAAGTCCTTTTCTTTTTATTAACGTTTGTCTTCTTAAATTAATTATTCAAGACTTATGTAATATACTTTTATGTTCAGTTTTAGGCCTTTTTGGAATGTCATTGATGAGAGATAGAACAAACAACTTGATAGGCCCTTGCATGCGGCAGGCTATTGTCTTAACCCTCACATGCACTATAACCCCAATTTTAAAGCTGATTTTGAAGTTAAACAAGGACTATATAGTTGTATAGGACGCATGGTGGCTGATATCGAAGAACAAGCAAAGATTGATGTTCAATTAGAAGACTTTAAGAAGCGTGAAAAGTTATTTGGTACTGCATTGGCAAGAAAGACATTTGATACAAAAAGTCTAGCGGATTGGTGGGAGTCATATGGAGATGAACATCCAGAGCTTCAAAAATTTGCCATTCGAGTATTAAGCTTGACATGCAATTCTTCAGGATGTGAGCGTGATTGGAGTGCATTTGACATGGTAAGATTTCTATTATATTGTAAAGTGTGCAAATAAATATTACTCCCTCCGTCCCAGTGTATTTGTCGAGTTTGACTTTTTCCAGTCAAACTGGACAAACTTTGAGCTTCAATTAAATAAAAACCGTAATGTATTTTAACATAAAAATGACTATTGGATTCATCGTATTGAGAACTTTCAAAATTGTATTTCATTATGCTAATATGCAATATAAATTGAGAGTAATTGCAATTCAAAGTTTGTCGAGTTTGACTTGAAAAAGTCAAACTGGACAAATACACTTGGACGGAGGTAGTACATGATTATCAACCCAGCTCAGACTAGAAGATCTTTTGTCAGATGATGAGTGATTATGGAAGATGATGGTGAAGGCCCCGTAGGTGACGAAGCTGTTGATGGAGACAACTCCATGGATGTTCCAACACAGAATGGAGAAGAAGAGCCCAAAGCAAATGTTCAACCTGAACGTGATGAGGAGTTGGATATCACCAATTTGGATGAGGGAGATGAAGAACTTATAGAGGAATATAATTCTAGCATTGATAATTATGTTTTAGATGTTTAAGAATAGATTTTTAAGTCATTCGTGAATCGTGATAGTTGTGTTATGTTTTATTAAAGTTTAATTAAAACATTTTTTCAAATAGTGTGTGTGTGTGTATACACACACACATGTGTGCGTGTATGTATGCATATATATATATATATATATATATATATATATATATATATATATATATATATATATATATATATATATATATATATATATATATATATATATATATATATGTATGTATGTATATATATAGACACATACACACACACACACGCATATATATATATGGGATTGACTCCAGTGAGATGACACCTTACAGTGAGATGACATGCTTCAGTGAGATGACGCCAAGCTCACCACATTACACTGCAAAGCTCACCAATGGCCAATGCAAAGCTCACCTGGAAATAAAGCAAAGCTCACCACTTTGAACACCAAAACTCACTTTTTTTAATTTTGAAAATTAAAAAATTAATTAAAAATAAAATAGCAACACCAGTCAACCATCGGTCAGCAGCGGCATCCGGCAAGAGGAGCAGCGGCGGTGGCCGGCGTTGACCGGCGGCGGTGCGGGGGCGACCGGCGGCGGCGTGGGGGCGACCGGAGGCGGAGGTCGGCAACGTCCGGCGGTGGCGGTGGCCTGCGGCGGCGATGGCCGGCGACGGTCAACGGTCAAAATCTAGTTAGCACCTCTTCCTTTGATTTTATTTTTTCAAAAAAAGTTTAAAGTGTTAAAAAAATATGGTGAGTTTTGCCTAACAGTTTGATGAGCTTTGTAGTTGTCTTTGGTGAACTTTGCAGTGGCCAATGGTGAGCTTTACGTCATCTGACCGTAGCATGTCATCTCACCATAAGGTGTCAATCCCTATAATATATATATATATACATATACATATATATATATATATATAAGTGTGTGTGTGTGTGTAGGATCTTACAATCCGAGTTACAATCTTACAATGTTACGATCTTTATTGGGCCTAGTGATCCTATGTAGAATCTCGAGTTTGACTACCATGTGTGTATAGCAATCAACTAAGTGAATATATAATGATCGTGCAGGCTTATCCCTCCCTCAACAGCACAAATAAACAGAACTAGTCATTCATGTTTATCTCCCACTTGTACAATCACATTAACAAATCACAAGTATTTATTGCTTAACCCTATGATTTCATATTTTTACTAACATGTAATGTTCCACCTAACTATATGGGGAATTTAAGCTTCAGTCGTGTTCTATATGCCTTACTTTTGGAAAACTTCAACTTTAAAAACCAATGTGATTGTAATGTGTCAACAAGAGCTTGTAAAAAAGAACAATGATGATGGGAACTAATCTTGCCTTCTCGTCCTTAGTAGACGGGGGGTGCTCAACCTTGTCAAAACTTAGTTGTTGACAAGTGATTTTGAATTCCAAACGTCAACCCTTTTAAAGCTATTACAAGAGTTGTAATCATAAAACCAATGAGAGTTCCAAAGCTCATACAACTCAACTAACTATGGCCATGAAAGACCAATGAAACACTAACTACTAAAATAGGGAACTTGGGTTTAATTGGAATCTGTTGGTACACGATTTACATCCATCATGTGACACCTTTGATACAGGCGGCCAATAGCCCCACCTCCCTCCCCCCCACCCCACCCCCACCACCCACACCAAAAGAAAAGAAAGGAACTTGATCTCTAATTGTCTCAAAGCCAAAACTTGATGTGTATGCCTAAGACAAAGTATATTTCTCGGCTTTCTCGCTATAAATGTCCCTCTAGAGTTTTTCAATTATTCCTGCACTGCTTTTGCTAAACTTCCCCATGCTGCATCTGATGGCCATAAAATAAGATGGAGAACCCCTAACCCCCCAATGGTTCATAGCTATCCTAAGATTCTAAAAGACATCATTAACTCATTAAGATGCATAAAGCATTTACATTTGGTGTTATGGATAAGAAAGATGTGTGGATTAACATCGGGAATGGATGCGGTTAATGTATAAGCAGGACTTTTTGAGAAGTGGATTACACAACTAGGTGCAAAGTCAGAGTATTGTGCTACGGCCTAAACAATGTGTGAAATGGAGAGGATGCGTGATTTGTTGAAGGAGGTTGGTGTAAAGACCATAGTTGTCACGACGGCAAGGCGAGGACGCCTAGGCGACCGACTAGGAGACAATTAGGCGACATATAATAAATGAGATTTACTACATACTATACATTTGTAAACTAATATAAATATATCACACTATATATTGTAGTTCATAAACTCTAAATTTCTAATCTAGCAAATTTTACTTTAAGCGCTAAAATACAAATCTAAAGAATAATCATTACTGCACTAAAATAAAAATGTAAAGAACAATCACATCATTACTGGGTATGAAAAAAATATACAGAGTAAAAGGTAAAGGAAAATCATTATTGAGACTATCATTAGTGAGTATGAAAAAAAAAGAAATAGACAAATAGTAGGAAAGGGAGTACCCAAAAAAAGAAGACAAATAGTAGGGGAGGGAGTACCAAAAAAAAGACAAATACAAATAGTATAAAATTCATTTTGAAGCAGCTCACTGCTTACTCTGTGTGAATCAAAGGCGGGAGAGACAGAGAGGTCAGCATCCAGCGAGACCCCTATCCAGCGACGGCGAGAGAATCTGTCTGGAGTCAAAGTCAAAGATTCTGGGTTCCGACTTCCTACAGATTCTAATTTACAACTTTGGGTCGCAAATCGCGATCTATTCAACTACGGAGCAAAAAAACTGACTTTTTAAAAAACATGGCGCCCTTGGTGAGCGCCTGGATACCTAGTCATCCCAAAGGTGACACCTTTCCAGCCTAGGCAAAATCAGGCGAGTTGAAAGTCATGGTGAGAAGAACTCAGTGCTTGGATGCCAAGTCAACAACGTGAAAACTATGGTAAAGACACATGTATCATTAAAATTGTTGTGTAACAAATCCTAACAATCGATAGCCATCCATATTGCAAAGAATCCGGTGTTTCATGAGTGGATGAAACACATTATAGGTGATTTGTCATCTAATTTGAGGGAAGATCCAGCTAGAGTTGTTTTCCACAGCACATGTATGAACTAAAGAACTAGCATATTTGCTTATAAAATGACTTAATGTAGTAGAGTGGGCTATCTATGTAACAAGTTGAGCATGGTGATGATCCAACTTGAAGAGGAATATTAAGATATGTCTTGGAGTTTCTACATGAGCATTGTGTTTAGCCCACTCTGGTGTACAAATAGAGGATATAAACAGAATTAACAGAGGTTGTACAGACTAGTGGCTGAACATAAACTTGTCTTAAAAAGATATATTATTGCACACAAACATAAACTCTGTAAATAAATACTGTAAATACCAATAAAGTAATTCTTGCACACAAACATGTATTCTAGAAAACTAAACCGTTAGGATTAAAAAAACAGATGAGCAGCATACCAGGAGAAATGGATCCCTGCCAAGACCTGGACCAACGACTAGACAATCAAATCGATCCATCCATTTATCAACTTCTGCCATCACTTTGGCTGATACTGAGCTTCTATCCTCATCCCTGAGATACTTATATCAAAAACATCAGTATACTTAGGATATAGTTCATTAGTTCAAAGGTAACTGTGGTGTTAAATCCTGACAAACGAAACATAAAATGTGCATTCATCTACTAAATATTTAAGACTCACCTAATGCAGTAAGACTCTTCCAGAACTGGATGTACAATTAACTCTGGACTATAGCTTTTTATGACTGAACCAGCATCTTTTGTGCAAAATACATGAGACAGATCGGCTCCCTGCAGGTGAAACAAGTAAAAAGACTAAATAAGATGTGTTACAACTTGGCAGTCCAATTGTAATAAGTTGAGGAAGGGATAAGGTGACTCACAATTTTCAATGCAGAAATAGCAGCAAAGTATGGTGCCCCAGTGTATTCGCGACATCCACCTACAACAGCTATCTTGCCTGATTTAACAAAGACAGATAAGGCAATAATATTGGAGGCAATGATGCACAATAAACCTTTAATCAAGTGCCAAGGAAAGAAAAATTAGAGGTCTCCTTGAACATGTGAAAGCCTATAATATTCCATTCTAATTAAAAATATTGCATATTATAGCAAAGATTCCAATTTGCGGAAATGTGTTTCATTATATTCTCCACCATAGTAACTCCATTACTCGTCAGACCTTAAATTGTGTTTCTTGATTTTGTTATTCCTCGTAAAACAACATATTTGATTTAACAAAAAAAGATGCAAAATAGAAAAAATGTGAAATATTCTTCCAAATTAAGTTTAGGAGAGGGGTTTTGGAAGAGAAGACAAGGAGTTAATGTTATATTCAGTTATTTATACATGGTTTATGGAAATACATCAATCCTTGGCCATTGAGCTTATATTAGTTTATCATGTTTTAATTTTGACAAACAATCAAGCTAAAGCAATATTTTCTTAAAATGAGAAATAATCCCTCTCATACTTTTCCTCTAAACCACAACTCGAAATCACCCCGCTAAGGGATCCAAATAGAAGCTGAGATATAAATGCTCTCCACGAGTCAAAAACTCAGGAACCCCTCAATGTCTCAGCAGTTAAAAGCTCATCCATTTGCTCCGGGCATGGAGTCCAATTAAAGTTAAAAGCATTCCAAATCATAAATATTCAGTTAAACGGTAAAATGTTTCAGCAGAACCCTAAAAAATTGATTAAGAGAACTAATTTTACCAGCTTGGCCTTTGTGCTTCGTGTAGATGAGATTTGGAGTTATTGATCTTAAAACGCTCACAGAATCGGCCTTCAAGCTAGAGCCACTACTCACTGCAGACTGCATTCTAATATTAGCCTGATAAAAAGGTTCTTTGGCTTTTCCAGAATAACCTCCCAAACACCTTAGCAACAACTGCTGCCTTCTGATTACTGCTTCCGAATAAGCCAGCGTTGCTCCAAAATCAAAAGCTTCTGAATTTCAAGAAAAAATAATTTTTAGGGAGAATAGGATCTTACCATACAACAATACTTTTGAACAAATAGTTTGCTTTTTTACAAAATTGATTATTCTTATCATTCTCATAAATAAATCAACTTGGTCTGTTCTTAATGTACTTTCACACCCTCTCCAATTGCACTAATTTAACTTTGTAGTCAAATTTTTTACAAAATAAAAAGTGGCATGAGAAAAATGTACTCACTGGTTTCCCGCTCAATTTACTTAGGTTACAAGCAGTAGATTTTTATTAATATTTTAAGATCTACGGTTCATATGCTATAAGATGTATCTATACCTAACGGATGAAATACTATATAAAAAAGGGAAAGCTTTAAAGAAGGAAAATAGCTTGTTTTAATGAGTCTAAATTTAAAAAAATTAAAAAATGGTTTCTGTTAAATTTTAATTTTTAATTTATCCATACGCAAATTACTATTTTAAAAGATTTCCATTTTTATTTTATTCATACGCAAATTACCATTTTAAAAGACATATATCATTAATGAGTAGGGAATAAAAATGGTTTCTATAATCTTTCCCTTTTATTTTATTCCTACGAATTACCATTTTAAAAGATAGATATCATTAATGAGAAGGTATAATAATAGTTTCTATAAGTTTTCCATATTAGACGCATTCCTACGTGAATTAGCATTTTAAAATTCATTCAATCTACGCTTCACATAAAATTACATTAAATAACCAATGAGTCTAAACGTAAAAGACGAAAATAAAATAAGGGTTTTTTTACATGCCTTCACATTTGAAGGGGCATGGAAAAATAACACCGCCTAATCTAAATACTCCATATAAAAAGACAGATTGTTAAAGAATGCAAAATGAGGCCACAATTTTTTAATTTTTTAATTTTTTATTTTGCATTTATTTATTTATTAATAGTCTGATTATTAAAATAATGTCTACAATTATGGAACCTAGAATGTCAAATTCACGAAAACATATTAAAGCAGATAAAGGCGACCAACAGATAATTTAGTTAGCAATAGCTAAAAAAATTGGATGCATATTTTATCCACTCTAGTAATTAAAAGATAGCAATTTTTTAAAGAAATCAGTTATTAACTTCTTTAACTTTCCAAAATATCCTATTACGCTTTCAAGAATTACAATGTTCCCTTGATGGGTGCTATGAATCAAATCAAGGAGTTTTGTTATAGCTCATAGGCTAAACTAACAAAATTGAAAATTAAGGCTCCGTTTGGTACACGGAATTCAACCTATGGAATTGGAATTGAGGACAACAATTCCAATCTTGTTATTTGGTAGCAAAAAAACATGTGAATTTGGAATTGGTAGTGCCAAAAATGATTTGGAATTGGAGAATTCAATTTCATCCAAATGAATTCCATAGAATTTTAATTTCCAATACAATTCTAATTCGGTCAATTCTGTGCACCAAACGGATCCTAACGGAAATTGAGGTTTTAACCTCAAACAACCAAATTGAAACTTAACGGAAATTAATTTTTCATCAAAATCATGAATTTGTTTTCAAGAGCATTCATACACCACTCATACCGACTATAGTAGACTCTAATTCTATGCCATAAACTGAACACCCAGTTCCTTCAAATTTGGGAGTTCTAATTTCAGATTTCATATTTGTAGGGTATAAAATTTCAAAACATAGCATAAAAATCAGTTTCGAACAACCAAATAAGAAATGTTCTCAAACAAGCAAAAGAAAATCTGCCAAACCTAGGAAATGAAGAACGAAATCAGAAGCAGTACCTTGGCGAAGTATGTACGAAGCATCACTACACCGGCAACTATCGATATTGGGAAAATCCGAATAAGAAAAAGATGGAAAATGAAGAAGAAGAATCAACAGGGGTGTACCTGGTCGGGGAAGAAACGAGGGAAATAGAACTTGGTAGACTGCAATCAAATTGAAACAGGCCACTGCCTAGTACAATGTGTGCGGATGTAGATCAAGGTGGCTAAAAACTTTTTACACCAAAAATTGTACCCCATTTGTATACCGCAGTTATACACAAACATTTTGATGATTTACACCGACACAAGTGTTGGTGCGTTAACAAAAATTTACACGGACACAAAGTGTTGGTGCGTTAACAAAAATTAGTTTTACACCAACACAAAATGTCGATGCAAACCTGCGGTGTACAAATGAGGTACAAAAGTTTAGGGTACAAATAGCTTTATCCCGTTAAAAAATAAACAGAAAAAAGACAATGCTCAAAGCTATGGCTCTTATAATATGAGCACGGTTCCATGGCCACTAGATTCTAGTGGCCATGAATCCAGTGGCCATGGAAGCCACTGCCCCCTACGGAGCTCCGTTCATAAAATTGATGATTCCTACCCCCTTTAAACCCCCGGTAAACCTCCGTCAAGTCCTGACCCAAACTAATCACCCACCTACGTTAATTGCACCTCGGCAATTGACGTAGGTGGAGTGATTAGTTTGGGTCGGGGGTTTACCGGGGGTTAGGGGGTAGGAATCATCAATATTATAAGCAGAGCTCCGTAGAGGGACAGTGACTTCCGTGACCACTGGAATCCAGTGGCCATGAAACCAGGCTTTTATGATATAAGGGCTATGGGCTCTTATAATATAAGGATATATATATATATATATATATATATATATATATATATATCCACAGGGCCAGCCCTTAGCCTGTGCGGCAGCATGTTCAATTGCACAGGGCCCAATAAAACAGAGGGCCCACTTTTTTTAATTAGCCTCCTTAATTAGTACTGGGTCATTCCCAATCTTCCATCAACAACGTGCCAATTAGTTAATTTCTAACATTCCGTCACACTCATTCCCAATTATTTTATTTTATCTTCAGATTTTTTTTCACAATCTTATTTACTTTGTTTAGTTTATCTTTGGTTTTGTTTAGTTGCTATATTTTTTTCTTTTTTTATCGAATGAAAAAAAGGCAAAATTGTAAATTGTTTATTAATTGCATTACCGAGTACATATCAATAAGAACTTTTTCATTTTAATTAGAAATTATGGATTTTTTCCGAAAGAATTAATCACTAACTCAATCCATTTAGAATCATCAAAATATATAAAGAAGATATTTTTAAACTTTCACTCCATGTTCAGATTTTTATTTTACATTTTTATTGTCGAAAATACGTTGTACTACTATACATATATAATTAATATTTGTTTCATCCCCGATCTTTCATATACTTTGAGTTTTTTTATTCAAATTAGGTAAATTTTAATCATCATTAATATAAATATTACACTACCTATTGGATATAAATATGAAAATAATTTATGAGATTTATATTGTAGACATTTTTTGAGAATTTATTTTATTGTATTAAGACGTGATACAAATTTAATATAATTTGTTTAGTCTAATTAAAAAACAAAGTGAACAAATACTATGATACAAAAAGAAATATGCTCAGTAACATTTCTTCTAGTTTTGTAAATATGAAAGTCACAATTTTTAAATTTGCACAGGGCCCCTTTTTACTTCAGACCGGCCTTGTATATATATATACACACACACACATACATATACATATATATATGTGTGTGTGTGTGTCTATATATATATATATATATATATATATATATATATATATATATCTGTGTGTGTATTGACATGCATACCTCTGTCCTGGAGTGTTTGTTCAGTTTTGACTTTGTGTGTCAAAATTGTCAAACATTGACCAGCAATTAAATAAAACTGGTACTCTCTCCGTTTGCTACAGATATTCTCAAATGCCTTTTTTGCTTGTCTGCAAAAGATCTTTTGACTACCTTTTTTAACATTTAAAATACCACAATTACCTTCAATTACTTTATGTTTTTACACCACACATACCTCATTTGTGTACTCATGATCCTCGAGAATTATCTCCATGAGCTTGTCGTCATTCTGTGGTGTTACGTGTGCCCGCACCCTTGAACGACCAACGATCTTTCCAATAACGTCTATGAAAGAAAACAAATTTCAGTTTTATATTGATAAAATTATATGCAATAAATATAAGTAAACTCGTACCAAACAACATATGAGCCTTGTTTGGGACCTATGTTTTCGATTAGCATTAGTATTTTTGATAAAATGTCAACGGTATAGATTAATTCTGAAAACGCTAACGTGAAAGGCTACTGTCAGATAGTTTTTTCAAAATGCTAACGCTAACCTCTACGCTGAGGCCAAATGGGACCAGGGTTTTCCGCGCACGGTTGCTCCCAAATACTATCAATGTATTTACTCTGGTTTGGTTGTAGAAAGTTAACAAATACCGATGCAAAGTTGTTTTGAAGTCAGGATAGTTATCATGTACCAATTGGTTTTTTATACCATACACACCGCCCTCTATAATATGATTTTTAAAGCACGAATTGTATGTTTTCTTGATATGGCAGTGAATCCTTGTGCTCTGTTACACAACGGAAATAATCGTCAAAAAATGTTTATGGTGTATGGATATCAAAACTTATTCTAGATCCGGTTGTTTACTATGTTGTGTTGGTGTATTATTGACTGTAAGTATAAATCTATTATGAAATGGAATTAATATGACAAAGTTATGCCCAAACACACATAGTTGTCGTAAACATATGAAATGGATATGTAAAAGTAAAAGAAAAAATGAAATTAATATGACAAGCACACCTGGTGGTTGTGAATGACAACCTCCATCGATTCTCTGGATCTTCCAAAAGTAGCTACTTCGTAAACACGAACAGCTCAGACGTGGATTGCAACTGCATTTTGGTTCCTATCAATATCAGCAAGCATTGTCCATAAATTGTGGGAAACACGGTTGGAAGCCATCTTTTTGTTATGAAGAAAGCATTGATTTTACATTACCCAAGCTGCCATCACACGTTCTCCTGTGCAAACTCATTATGCTTTTAATCTTTCCCATAAAGTAGCAATTTAAGTGTATTTTTCGAAGGGCATTGGTGAGAGGTTCATTTATAAAGAAAGTGTTAATTTTTCCCATAGAGTAGCCATTTAATTCACCCATACCCGATTATGCCCTATCATACCATAAACTGTATCCAATTAGATTGGGTGGGAGACTCTACTTCTCAGGTTCCCCCTACCATTGTATATTAAAAGATGTCTCTTGGTATCCATTACGTTGTTAGAGCATTGTAGATAAAAAATAATTTTAGACACTAATCTTATAATCGGGTTAAAAATTACCTGTGACTCTTTGTTTAACTTGATTTTTTCAATCCAAATTCGATAAAAAAAATTGTATTGTACATATCGGCTTCTTGATAATTTTCACTTCTTCCGTGCCAAATATTTAACAATCTTTTCTTTCTCTCTTCTATCAATAACTTTTATTTATTTGTGTATTTTTATTGAATATTTAATAAAATTTAATATTCTTGTCACCACTCATTTTGTAGAACTTTTGACATATGTTTTTAATATGTAATTTTTATTTCTCATTAATGTACAAATTTATAAATAAAATAATTTCAAAAGACGAGAGATTTTGTCTCGTAACTCCTAATTTGCAATCGAATTAGGGATGAAGGAAATATTTGTGTGTATATTTACATTTATTATTTGATAAAATAAAATATTATTATCATATCTTGTTTTGTAAATTTTTTAATATATTTTTGAATGATAGTATAATTTATATGTTTTACTTTTATAGGAATTTAAAATTAAAATAATTTTAATTTCACATGTTATTTCACATGTTATTGTAAATTTTTTTATATATTTTTGAATGATAGTATAATTTATTCCCTCCGTCCCAAAATAGATTACAATATTCCCTCACATTTTTGTCCCAAAAAGAATTACAAAGTCAATAACTTTATAGTGATTTGACTCTTTTACCCTTCCCTTTTCTTTTCTGCCAGCCACTATTTACACTATTCATCCATGTGATAGGAAGGATATTTGGGGGATTTGGGGGTAATTTGGGAAAAAAATTTGATTTGACTCTTCTTTAATTTCAACAAAAAGGGAATATTGTAATCTAAAGTGGGACGGAGGGAGTATATGTTTTACTTTTATATGAATTTAAAATTAAAATAATTTTAATTTCACATGTTATTGGGAAGGTAGCATTTATTGTGGGGCGTAGGGTATATATCCATATAGGGTCCCTTTCTCATACAAATAGAGTAGCAAGTTGATCGGAGACAAGGAACAGAAGCATTGGCCATGGCGTCAGCTATGCTAAAGCGGACGACGATGTTGAATTCCATGGCAAACCGATTGAGGTCATACGCTTCGGTGGCAGTGGGTACGGACCTGGTCTCCGCCGCACCCAATGTCTCTCTCCAGAAAGCTCGCACCTGGGACGAAGGCGTCTCCTCCAAGTTCTCCACTACCCCCCTCAAAGACATCTTCAGGGTATTCAATGGAACTCTGTTCACTACCTAAATTGTAAATATCGCTTTCTTTGTTCTATTTAGGGTTTTATAATTTGGTTTTGTTTTTTGTTTTCAGGGCAAAAACGTTGTTATCTTCGGACTCCCGGTACATATTTTCTCTAGTTATTGTGATATTTTTTTGTTACTTATACTGTGGAGTTTTCATTTCTAGATAACTTAATCTGGTTATGTATGTCTCCTTTCACTTTTGTATCGGCAATTTGGTAGTTCATTGCAATGATCTCTTTGATTAAGGATGCTTATCTACGTAAGGGGACATGACATTAGGCCCGAACAAATTTTTAGTTCAATTACCTTACTGAAATCCTGAAATGGAAGACGAATCAAACTCTACACTGTAGTAAGCTCACACAAATGACACTATTGTATAATGTCTCATATATATACACAACACTTTACTGGTAGGCTCAATTAATCATAACGCATGTACAAGGATAATCTAATCCACTCTTTTGTATTGAATTACTATCTATCATCAATATTACAGAGTATATATTTCATTTTCTTCCTCCTTTAATAATGCTTCCACTATCTTGTGGCCTCATTTTTTTGACATTGGCCACTAATTAGGTGTAGCCTCATTTCCACAAGTACGAACATTTTCCACAAAGCATGTAGCTCAAATCCATGTTGTAACATCTTATAATTCTACACTCCCTAAAAATGGAGCATGTAGGTCAAACCCTCAATGTTTTTTTTTGAACGAAATGCACTTCTCATTATAACAACCGTGAAGAATGCATCCAACCTTACATAATCAAAGCAACACTACCCTCAACTCTACTCTATAAAAAACCAAAAAACAAATAAATACCACATTAAACTACTTCTTTTACCTTTCAAAAAACCTCTACCTGGTGTATTACCTTTTGGGCGCATTTGGTTACCCCAAGCTCTTCATTCTTATGCAGTGTATAATTTCTAGTTCTCCACACAGTATAGCTTATGGAAGCAAATAGGGCAGCCTGCATATTCCTTTCTTTTCTTTGTGGAATCTGCATAATTTCCTTCCCAATGGCATCAACAGTTCCCCCCCCCCCCCAATGCAAGCACCAAACCTTTTAGTCACCTCTTCTCTAACTTTCTTAGTAAAAGCACATGTGCAGAAGAGATGGTTTACCTCTTCTACTTCACTTTTACACAGCAAACAAGTAGTAGCTACAGGAAAGAATTTATTAATTCTTTCTTTGGTTTGTATTCTACCCTTAACAATCAGCCATAGGATGAATTGATGTTTTGGCAGACTATGCTTGTTCCAAACTAGCTTCACCCAGGTAGGTTTTTGTCAAACCCTCAATGTTTATTAAAGATGTATTAAATCCTACTTCTCGTAAGTGGCTCATAGAGAACATTTGACCTAACTCAACAAATGACGATTGACAAAATACTTCTTGATTTGGTTAAAAAGAGAATTTCTTTTCTTCCCTTGGTTTAAAAGGCATTAATCATGTCGAGGCACTCTTCCCAAAAATATCTGAGGCGTGAGGAGCGGACCTCTCATATTCGAGGCACACGTAGTCAGTAAAGTAAAACTCATTCATATACAGAGTATTTATATGGCTCGATCAGCTTCAACAATATATAACACAATAACTCAAAAACACTAATGATAACAATATAGGGGAAAAACTTGAAAGTTGGATAAACAACCAAAAGTTCATAATTCAAACATAATAAACTAAAGGTTTAGTTGTTTAGAGTTCAAGCTTAATATTTTATAATTAAAAAGACCACAATATTCTGACTTTGTGACTTAGTTTATCTCATGTTTAGAAATTAGTCGACGCCAAGATCATCATCATCGCCCATAGTTTGTAAGGCGTCGCCTAGGCGATAAGGCGCTATCACTGGGACGCCTTGTCTGCTCGCCTCGCCTAGAAAACCTTAAGGTGATCAGGCGCTCGCCTTTCCTCGCCTTACCTCGCCTTACCTCGCCTTGATGCCTTGGGCCCCTTTAAAATTTTGAAAAAACCCATTTTTTAGTGTAGCCCATTTTCTTTAAGTGTAGCCTAATAGACTTAAACTTATCTTCTCTCTCTCTCTCGATTTTTCTGTCTCGATCAAGCTTCCTTAAAATGTATAAGACATATGTATGTATGTATGTATGTATGTATGTATGTATGTATGTATGTATGTATGTATGTATGTATGTATGTATGTATGTATGTATGTATGTATGTATGTAT